GTAACACTAAGGTATTTCCCACCAGTGTCAAGTAATCTAACATCCGGTAAAATGCCCCGCAGCATTGCCATGTCATGTTATGCCATGATACTGATGAATGACATGAGCGTAGCGAGTTAAAAACGTGTTTTTAAGAATGATATTTTAAGAATATGATTTTCTTTTTCTTATCTTTTAAAGATTTTTAATGTTAGCTTACTCGTAATAGCAACATATACATCTATTTATGTTTTATATGACAAAATATTGAATAAAGATAAAAGGGTGTTGCTTCAGTAAACAGGCGAACAAACGGAAATTTCTATCTAACTTTGATGACACTTAAATGTCATGCAGACAATAATTGTGAAAAAATAATGCGAAGGGGAGGAAGAGAGAGAGAGAGAGAGAGAGAGAGAGAGAGAGAGAGAGAGAGAGAGAGAGAGAGAGAGAGAGAGAGAGAGAGAGAGAGAGAGAGAGAGAGAGAGAGAGATTTGATTTGATTTGATAACATTTATTTACAGAACAGTGTACATGCCCTGCAAAAAGCCAGGGTAAGATACCAAAGCATCTATCCAAACTGGCTGTGCTTCTATTTGTGTAGAGGGCCATTGGTCAAACATTAGTGTTACATACATGCCTGAAGGGCTGTTCTATTATCACAATATTAAAATATCATCTGACTGGTAAAAAACCTTTTACATCACTAATCATGTCAAAGACAAGACCAGTGTCTATAATAAAGTTAATATAATCTACAAGCGCTATTTTGTGAACAGTACTATTTGATCGATAGGATGCAGTCTTTATGCAGCAGAGTAAGTAATGAGTGAGATTATGCGACTTGGGTTCCTTGCACAGTTTGCAATGGTGATATGAAACAGGTTTTGCATCCAAAACTGCATCCTGTACATATTGTATAGTGTACTGATATCCTATGCGTAGCCTAGTTAATGTAACCTGTTGTCTCCGAGACAGTCCGTAATAGACTTTATAGTCCCAACAATACTCTCGTAGTGCCAGATAGTACCATGTCCGTCTTTTTTCATTTTTTCATTGGTCCATACCTGATCCTCATAATCTCTAAGACAGTTGATAACTCGTTTTTTCATTTGATTGAGAGATAGCGGTATTACATAGTATGGATCTTCATGGGAAAGTGCTAACCTGGCTAATTGATCAGCCCTGTCACATAGTGATATTCCTATATGAGAAGGTATCCAGTATAGTGACACTTGGGTACCCCGTTCTGATAATTTAGAAATTTGGTGAAGGATATTCTTAGTTACCATGTTTTCTGGAGTAAATGCAGTAAGCCTGTTAAGAGCGCCTTGGCTGTCTGTAAAGACAGCCAGGTTTCGCTGCTGTTCACTACCTTTCTTAAGGGCATGATATATAGCTACTGACTCGGCATCAGTTGTGCTTGCCCAGTTGGAGATGCACTCACTTTCTTCAAGGTCTATATCAGGAATTAGCACACCAATCCCTGTTGTCCCATGAGGACCAGTGGAGGCATCACAGTAGATTGCAAGTGGGGGCGTACCATGAGGAGGATGTAGAATGCCATCTATATATTCCAAGTAGTGAGCTTTTAGTTCCGTTTTTGAAGCCATAGATTTAGACCCTATTAGTTTATCAATATGAGCACGTACATGAGTTCTGTGCCAAGGAGCAGTAAGTACTGTATCTGGAATATTAATAGCTTCGTTGTTCCATACATTGAAGAACATGATAGTATGAGCAGTTTTAGTTTTCCATTCTAAGTTGGACTGTATGAGATTGGAGTATCGAGGCCGGACATGCCTGACTCTATAATTTATCTCATTTGATAGGATACTGGAGATTTGTGGTCTGGGTTGAAGCTGCAGGAGCCTAATGCCGAGTATGGTGTTAACTTGGATGACACGACTGTGAATAGAAGGGAGGTCCAACTCTTTCCTCATGACGAGAACTTTAGCGGTCATTGGGCATCCAAGTATAATTCTCATGGCCTTATTCTGTAAAACTTCAAGGGGTTTGAGGGCACTCGGTGGCAGCATACTAAGAACTGGGCTTGCATAGTCTATCATGGACCTAACAAGGGAGATATACATCAACCTTAGGACTCTCAGGGAGGCACCTACATATCTGTTACTAATGTATTGCAATGGTCTTAAACGCTCAAGGCAACGTTCCTTGATGTTTTGAACAATATTCTTAGCAAAGCGTGAGTTATGGGACATGAGGTGGGGAGCAGCCACCATAACACCAAGATATTTGTAGGAGTCAGTTCTTGCAATAGTTTGTCCACCTAACCTTGGAATGTAAGGTAATCTACGAGATTTGGAAATATGCTTAGTTTTGATTGGGTTGATTATGAGACCAAGGGAGGCACACTTTTTGCTGAACCTCTGTAGAACGTAATCCCCCCTATCAAACACCTGAATAAGAATGTCATCAGCATAGGATGTGATGCTGCACAGGTTTCCTAACTCATCATTGAGCTTGCAAAGAGAGTGCATAAGTATATTAAACAGTGTTGGGGACAACACTCCCCCTTGTGGAGTGCCTAATTCCAATTCGCCATAAGCACTATAGATGCCTTGATACCACACTTTTGCTCTTCTCAAAGATAGATAATCCTTTATCCATAGCAGAAGCTTGCCCTTAACTCCCAAAAGAGTTAGTTCTCCCTTTTTGAAAGCCAAAGACAGATGGATGGATCATGTCTTTGATCTGATGGAGTAAACGAGTGAGGAGAATTCTTTCACAGGTTTTTGACAGGCAGGACGTCAGAGAAATTGGTCTATATTCATCAGGCCGTCCTGGTTTTGGAATAGGAATGATGGTTGCCTGTTTCCAAGAGGTAGGCAAGATGCCTGTCATGTAGGTTAAGTTGAAGAGATCAAGAAGAGGATTTCTTCCCCTTACCTGTACTTTTGCAAGAAGTCGGATGATGTCATAAGTGATTCCATCATCCCCAGGTGCGGTGGATTTGCTAGTCTTAATGGCTGCAAGTAGTTCCTCCCTTGAAAATGGTGCATCAGCCTCATCTAAAAGGTTGCACTGGTAGTCAATTTCGTTTTTATGGCTTAATTTAAGGGAACACCTACGTATGGATAATGGAAGGCTATCAAGAGAAGACTCCTCACACCATTTATTGAGGAGAGATGAGGCTACCCTTTCTGGATGTGGGTGGGGTGTTGTACTGCATGTATTGCCTTTGATCTTGTTGATTTCCTTCCATACATTACTCATGGTTGTCATGGAGTCAATTGATTCTGCCCAGGCATAAAATTTTTCTTCCCGCTTTCGTGTTATTATCTCATTGATCTCTTTACTAAAAAACACAAGATCTTTAGCTAAGTACGGGTTTTTCCCCAAGTGTCGTAGCTGCCTTACTGTAGATCGTATGAGTCTCCTAAGAAGTTTTATCTCAGGGTCTTTGTTCAGTTGTTGTGCATGTCTACCTCTGGAGAGAGAGAGAGAGAGAGAGAGAGAGAGTGATAGACAGATAGATTGAAATATATATATATATATATATATATATATATATATATATATATATATATATATATATATATATATATATATGTATATATAAATAAATAAATAAATAAATAAATATATATATATATAAATAAATAAATAAATATATATATATATATATATATATATATATATATATATATATATATATATATATAGAGAGAGAGAGAGAGAGAGAGAGAGAGAGAGAGAAAGATACATATATATATATATATATATATATATATATATATATATATATATATATATATATACATGCATACATACATACATGCATATATATATATACATATACATATATATATATATATATATATATATATATATATATATATATATATATACATACATACATATATATATATATATATATATATATATATATATATATATATATATATATATATATATGTATATATATATATATATACATACACTGCACCCTGGGTCAAGGATAGTACCCTATGAATTCCCCGTGGCAGGGTTATGGTGAAACCGCAGGCTAGTGTTTTCTGCAGAAGGGGTTTATCAGTGCAACTGGTATTTCACGGTAGAAGCAAAATACGTCTGGCGGAAGTTTAGTCCAACTGAACAAACGGCAGAGATAGCCTTTGCAGTTTGATGAACTGCGGACAAAGAAAGAACTTAAGGCCTTTACTTTGCTTAACTCATTCACGCCGGGTGTCACTGTGAATCTACTTGTTTAATTATTTTTACACATAGATGGCTGCACTTGTACTTGTACTGCCTGCCTCGCCTGTTTACCCTTTTCTTTAATTTATGAAAATATTATACGTTTTCTTATTTTGCTGTTACTAACATTATAGTAATTATAATGTTTATAATAAAAATAACCATCGATATTCATTGTACTAGTAAAAATACACTTTCCTGCCAAATGAAATCAGGTAAGGCAGAGCCATCTAGTGTAGAGAAATTTCATAAAAAGTATAAAAAATGAGCACAGCATTTTCCCCCATTTTTTGTTCATTTTTACCCAGCGCAATTGGGTTAACCCCCTGGTGACGGGTATGACGTGTACGTACATGCTATGCCCACAGTGAGTACTTGTTTGATTGTTTTTATGCATAGATGGCAACACTTGTACTAACTCTCCAATGAGCCAGTTACGAGCACTGCCCGTCTCGCCCGTTTACCCGTTTCTTTGATTTACAAAATATTTTACGTAATCTTATTTTGCTGTTACTAATGTTAAAAAAAATTATAAAGATTATAATGTTTATGATAAAAATAACACCATCGATTTTCATAGCACTAGTGAAAAATACGTTTTTTCCCGCCATTTAAATCAGGCGCTAGCAGAGCCATCTATCGGCAGACATTTCACGAAAAACATAGAAAGTGGGCACAATATTTTCCCCATTTTTTGTTCATTTTCCCCGGCACCATTGGGTTAATTGATCGGTCGTAATCACATCTCAAATATGATTGTTTGGGAGGCCACGGCTGATCAGCCCAACGGTCTATGCGTA